TCCTGAATGATCAAAATTTATTATAAGAAGTGATGTTACTTTTGATGAGATCCATATGGAGATGAAATTCAAAGACCTAGATGTGAATGAATCATAAACTACGACGGAGAAGACTTAGTTTAAAATGGAGGTTTCTACAAGTGATACAAGAGATAATAACGAAGTTGAGGCCCATGTTTCTAGTACTAGAGAAAAGAAACCAACAATTACTCTTGATTATCAGTTGACTTCTGATAGAGTTAGAAAAAAAATTGTACCACCTCAAAGGCATGATTACGTTAACCTTATTTGATATGTAAATATAGTAAAATATGGTTGAAGACATTAAATGATAAAGTGCATTAACTGAAGAAGAACCATACTTGCGAGTTTTTGTTACTACCTAAGAAACAAAAGGCGAGGATACATCTGGATCTTCAAGAATAAAGAGGGTATTCTATAAATTACAAACTAAAATTTAAAGCAAAGTTTATAGTAAAGGAAATTAATTTCAATGAAATATTTTCACTTATAGTAAATCATTGTTCTATAAGGGTAATTGTGCAATTATGAATGAATATGATCTTTAGTTGACATATTGACATGATTTAGTTAAAGGTTAGAAGGTGGCATAGAGTTAAATTCGACATATGTGTCTATCAATGACATGACAATAATTATAATGATGTCTTAAGTATTACTCTCACAACTAACCTTTGGTTGCTTTTCACATGATATACTAAATATCTAATTATAAAATAAAATAAGTATAGGTAGGCAAGGCAAGTAAGTCTATAATTGGAAAAGTCCAGAGTCGTCATTCTTTTTTCAATGAGCCCGAATTAGTGATAAATAATCCAATCTTTCAATCGCGCTTTTCATTCCCATTTCAAAGCAACCAACAACAACAACAACAACCTTAGCTAATTTTATTGGAAACTTGAAACACGCGTTCATAAACCTCATCAAGGTACCATCATCTCCCTTCCCTATATTTCTGAATCTTGATTTGATTTGCGATTCTGCGTTTACTCTTTTTGAGGAATTTCAGTAATCAATTTGTATGTCTGCATACTCATTTTTTTTCTTATTAAGCTGCAAATGTTTTTCTTGATAATTTGTAAATTGTATAAGTTGTTGTTTTTGACAAAGATGTGAAGGGAAATCATTTATTATTACTAAGCTGAACCAAATGCTTCACATCCAAACATGGTCAATTGTTTCTAATACACTAGGATGAATTTTGAACCGGTTCTAAAGTTGCTCATATTCAGACCCGTTTGGTTACGCGTTACCAAATTTTTCCAACACATCTAACCCTAACCCAGGCTCATTTTGAAATACCCAATAATCATTAGTGAGTAAAATCCTAAATATAATACTACTTCCGTTTCAAAATGACTGTCGTTTTAACAAATAAATTTTGTTTCAAAATACGGTCATTTTCACTTTTCAATGTAGTAATAGTTACTATTTTTTCAACTGTGTCATTTACTTTTTACTCTCTACACTACTTCCAACACATTAATAGGGTTAATTTTGTAAATGTGTAATGTCTTACGACAACATCATTGTATTCCTTAATTTATGTGTAAAAATCTTAAACGACAGTCATTTTGAAACAGATGGAGTAGTATTGTAGTACATTGTATGTCAGAATCTGTCATTGCGTTTGTGATTATAAAGCATCTCTCATTGGATATGGTTGTTATTGGCTTTTATTTTCCTTCCTTCTCCACTCTTTTGGTATAAAGAAACTAAAACCTTATTTGGCTGTATTTTGTTCACGGACTACGGAGCCTATTTGATGCAAGGCAATCGACAATAAGGAGTCTCCTCAAACAATAACTAATGGGCTCGAGTATCGAAAAAGACTTAATGTAATGGTTTGAAATTAGATTTGATAAAAAATAAGACCAGAATTGATAAATGGTAAAGGCAGAATGTCTATGTAGTTGGATAAGAGACAATTCAGTTGGTTTGGAAGAGGCATCTGTTATGGATTTCTCTTTCTATGAATAACTAAAAATAGCGAAGGTTTTGTACTGAACCATGTTTGATAGAAAGACATTGACTTTTAGGTAGGGAACAAGAAATTGTTGTGGCTGGTTGAATGCCGATTTCTGATTACTGTAACATTAGTACGTACTACGTCTGTAAGGTTAGGAAAGTAAATTTGGCAGATATGATTGTTCATACTAATCCTTAGGCATGGGTATGGTGTCATATTGATCATGTTTGAATCTCTAAGTTGCTTACCTTTATAATGTTGATGTTTTGACTAAATGAATTTCCGTTACTTTACAGAGCCACTCATAGACCTGTTGAAAACATAATCGATGTGAAGCTTGTGTTTTAGTTATATATACATGTTAATAAAACTCTAGTTCTCCCACAATGCACACAAGTTTTGGTCAAGACACAACACATTGTCAAAAATACAGAATAACCACATGCTGATAAGTGTTTGTATTTAAAACGTAGTAATAAAAACCAGACAGTATGGACCCGATCTGATATCCATTTATGAAGTAAGGGAAAAAAAACTACTAGCTTTTACTACCTTAGATCTTGTCGGTTGATCGGATTTGACCCAAATTGATATGCATGTCTAGGCATCCAGGTCAAGATTGATTAAAATATCTGATATCTTGAATTATCTAAGAAAACTTTGGTTCATGACTTGTAGGGAAAAGAATAATCATAAAGTTATATGGATAGCAAGTCACCGAGCAAGAAGGAGTCTACTGAGGTGGCAGCACGCGAGTCGCTTATTGCTATTTCAAACACCTCGCCAGATAAAATTCAGGATTCTGCGTCCGAGAGCAAGAAACCAGATGGGGTTGTGTTGCCAAATGGTGATCAGGATGAACAGTTTAGGTCTGAACTAATTTCAATTTCATACGCCGAATCACCTGATGTCAAGATTGGATCAATTGCAACCGGAGTCTAGGCTACTCAACTAAAACATGTTAGTAATTCATGTGTAATGAATGAACTTCGTCTCTGTCAGTGTTGTAACTAAATTAGTTGTTGCATACTTTATCTGCTATCCTGCAACTAAATGTAAATACTTTCGTCGGCCACATGTTTCGGTCGTATGTTGGAATCATTTTGATAACTGTGTTGTCTAAGTACTGTGTTAGTTCATGTGTGATTCTGGAAATAAATATTCAACTTGTACCACTGCCATGTTTTCATATTTAAATAGCATTGAAGTCTTAGGCTCATTTTTTACCATTACTGAATTTTTTGACTCTTTTAAGCAAACAAGCTCATTTATTTTTATGTCCTATCTCTATGGCTGAGTATGTTTTTTCTTGTCATGTCCTCTTCACGCCTTCAACAAAGAACGACATGTTACTTTTTTTTTTCCTTCATTTTTTAATTACAATATGCTCTGAACTGTTTTTTTTATTGAATTGTTATATTCAATTGTTTAGGGAAGATTGTAAATGATAAAAAATTGGAAACAAAAAGTGGTATAATTAAATCCTTTAGATATTTCTGGTGATTTGGATCTGAAACTAGTTGTAGCATGTGTACAGATGCTAGTTTTAGAGTCACTTCTCAGATTAGAAATATTGATCCAAAGAATTCAACTAGGGTTACAAATCAAATAATGGAAAAATCTTGAAACTTGTTTTTGGGTTATTAGGTGCTAGGTTTTATTCTTGCTTTTGTGTTGATTATTATGTAGTATAAAAAATGGAATAAGATTAGGAGGGAAAATGTTTATCACAGGTCAACTGAAAATAGTGTTAGATACGGTGTTTTGTCTAACAATTATGAAAAATAGAAAAAAAATATATATCTTTTTTTAGGGTTGATAGAGATGTAATAATAAAAGGGTTTATAAAATTTAATAAATGAGACAAATAAATATTTAAAATTAAAGTTAGTTGAAAATCAATAGAAAAATGATTGTATAGAAAAGTTTAAAAACATAATGATCTAAAAGAATTAAGTTTAATGTTGTATTTATTAAATTTTAGATTATGATTTAAAATATAAAAAAAAAATGAAAAAATCAATGGTACGAGAGACATAAGTTTTACTTTTATTTTATTTAATTGTAAAGAAATGTAAAAATCTGTGTATTTGTACAGATTTTAGTATGATTATCTATGCATTCATATAATACTGATGTGATATCCGTACGCAATCGCATTAGTAGTACTGATGTGGTACCTTGCTTTTGTTTTCAAAATTTAATAAATTACCTTAAAAGCAGCACAGTCCTGTGTGTTATTCAAGACTTTAAGATCACAAAATGTTTGCATTTTTCAAATCTTTGTTGGTTGAGGCAATGATCAAATGTGAAATTAAGAAAGCATAGGTGATACATTGTGTTAGGCTTAACTAAAGATAACTTACTAAAACGAAGTGACTTATATATTATGAAAAATGAGAAGTCAAAATTGGACATATTTCTATAAGAAAGAGTATTTTAGGAACACCTGTGCATAAAATGGACACCTTAAATACATTCTCTACTCTTTTTACTATATGTGAAAATCGTAAAAAAGGGCTTATGAAAAAGGGATGAAGGTATTATTATCATGTGATATTCATGTGATATTGATAGCTAGTATTCTTTATCTTAGAGTAACTCCAACGGGAGTATTTCAAATTGTTCTCCAGTCTAACAAACAACAATTTTAATTCAAGTATAGTTGGAGTTGACCACGGTGGAATACTGTGCAAGTACATTCTAACGGTCCTTCAAATAAAATATTAATTAAAAAATAGTTGTTTTTTTGTTTCAACGGCTAGCTTCATTTTTTTTAAGAACTTTAATTTATTATAAATACCTCTATTTGAAAAATTTTATACACAAAATTTCTCTCATATTTTTATTTGCTCATAAATTTTGAATTTCTTTCTCACAATTTCATCACTTTGCTCTTCATTTTTTATTTTTTTTTCTCTTACAATTTATTCTCATTAGCCTTCATTTGACAATATATTTTACCCAAATTTTTATCCTTTTACTTCAAAATTAATATTGTTTAGGCCAAATGGATCCTAATCAATTTAATTATCAACAATCTATGTTCAATTTCATACAAAATTTTCAAAATCCTAATCCTCAAAATTCTCAATTCCCATCAATGCCAACAAACTCCGCCGCTTTTTTTCCGTCATCAACCGGAAACACTCCGCCGCATTTTTTTCCGTCACCAAACTCCACCATATGGTCAACCATCTATGGAATTTTTTCGTCATGAACCGGAAACACCGATTGTGTCTATGTCCGAAAGTCAAGTTCCACCATTTTCAACTCAAGTCGGTATTGAAAAAGAAGAAAGTCGCCCTGTTAAAAAAAAGCTCGAGAGGTATTTTCAAGGGATGAAGATATACTTCTTATCCAATCATGGCTCAATGTTTCAAAGGATTCAATTGTGGGAGTTGATCAAAAAGCTGAGACTTTTTGATTAAGAATCACTACCAATTATAACGAGTATCGTGGACAATCGCGGGAAAAGCTACGTGGGCAATTAAAATCTCGATGGCATCGAATAAATGGCTTGGTTCAAAAATTTGTTGGGTGTTACAAACAAGCTGTTAATGGAAAGAAAAGTGGGACTTCGGAAAAAGATATCTTGGTTGCTGCATATGCATTTTTTTGCTCAAGATGAAGGTACACCATTCAATCTTGAGTACGCATGGCGATTGTTAAAGGATGAACCTAAATGGATGGGAGCATCGACTGAAAATTCTTCAAAAAGAACAAAGAATTCTGCTAGTGGGGCACACTCATCATTGTCTAACCTCGCGACACCTTCAAGTTATGAGTTTAACTCATCATTGAAAGAACAAGATTAGTTCTGACCTATCCCAAGTGTTTTGATGATAATTAAATTATATTTAAGATAATTTATGCTCTAATGAATGTGTTTTTGAATGTCTTAGTTAATGATCTGACAAGAAACATTCCAAAGTACTAAGAAAAGATTATGAAGAAGTTCTTTGATAAAAGAACCTCTTATTCAAACGCATTTGCTGACTCTGGTAAGAACATTCATTTGTTAAATGTATCTTCTAACTTCTAGCAGGCTTCTTGATTCTGAAGATAACTTGAAAGCAAGTGCTGTTCAATGATCTTAGCAAGCAACACTCTGACCAGAAGTTGAATGAAGCAAGTTCTGAGTTAAAGCAACAACGTCTTAATCAACGTGTCTTGTCAAAGCAAAGGAAAACACGTTCTTACATTCTGACGTATGCTAATTAATGCAAAGACGATTGAAAGCACTCAAGTGCCTATAACTTGTTTCTTGGAGAATGGAATTTTGCAAGGATACACGTAAAACATTTAATGCTCTCCATTTCTTTTGAAGGCAGCAACGGTCTTATTACTCCTACTATAAATAGAAGGACATTTATTGCAAGCAAAAAGAGAGGAACGACGTTCAAACAAGAAACTACGTGAAAGATTCAAAAGCTTACATACTCATAGTTCATACATTTTTGTGTATTACATTCTAAGAAAAATCACAGTCGTGATATAGCTTGATTAGAAGCAAACTCTATTTCAAATTATCTGTAAAGATTATACTTCTGTATTTATTCCTTGAGAGACCAAGTTTGGTCAGATTTCTCAAGCAGACTAGGACTAGATTTAAGTCTTAGTGGTGTTAGTCACTTGTAAGTTTACTTGTGCATTGTTAGTCACAACAGTTGTTGTGTGATTGTAATCAGTTGATTATAGTGGATTAAGTCCTTGTTGAGAAAGGCGAAATCACCTTGGCAGATGGACTGGAGTAGTTTGAGTTCAAATGAACCAGGATAAAAATAACTGTGTTATTCCATTATTATTTTTGAGCTTTGTTTTGATAGAATGAAAAGAGTAACTTATTCACCCCCCCCCCCTCTAAGTGTTTTCTTACTCCTTCAATTGGTATCAGAGCTTGACTCTGAGCTCAACACTTAACCGTGTCAGGAAAAGATCCAGAAGAAAACACAATGGTCGCTGAACAAAACAATAATAGTTATAACAAACCTCCAGTGTTTGATGGAGAAGATTTTGAGTACTGGAAAGATAGACTGGAAAGTTTCTTTCTAGGTCATGATAGTGATCTTTGGGATATAGTCTTGTATGGTTACAAACATCCTACAAATTCAGAAGGAAACAAAGTGGATAGAAAAAATATGGATAGACAACAAAAAGCTGATTTTAAAAATCATCACAAAGCTAAAAATATTTTTTTAAATGCTATCTCTAAAGTAGAATATGAAAAAATCACTAATAGAGATACAGCGCATGATATGTTTGAGTCTCTCAAAATGACTCATGAAGGAAACGCCCAAGTTAAGGAGTCTAAAGCTCTGGCTTTAGTTCAGAAGTATGAAGCCTTCAAAGTTGAGGAAAGTGAGTCTATAAAAGCAATGTTCTCTAGGTTTCAAACTCTGATCGCTGGTCTGAGAGTTTTGAACAAAGGGTATACCAAAGCAGATCACGTAAAAAAGATCATCAGAAGCTTACCCAAAAGATGGGAACCAATGGTCAATGCTTTCAAGGTGTCAAAGGATCTGAACAATGTGTCTCTAGAGGAACTCATCAGCGCTCTCAGAAGTCATGAGATTGAACTGGATGAGCACGAGCCTCAGAAGAAAGGTAAGTCTCTAGCCCTTAAATCAATTAAGAAATTTGATACTAACGCTTTTTAGGCTGAAGAAGAAAACTCTGAAGAATTAGCTTCAGAAGAAGACGAACTATCTTTACTCTTCAAAAGGATCAATCGTCTGTGGAAACACAGACAAAAGAAGTTCAGGAACTTCAATAAGTCAGAAGATAAACCAGAATCTTCTAGACACAAAAAGTCAAACAGAAGAGAGATCATCTGTTATGAATGCAAAGAACCTGGGCACTTCAAAAGTGATTATCCAAAGCTTCAAAAAGAAAGACCAAAGAAGAGATTTGGAAAGAAGAAAGGAATGATGGCAACCTGGGATGACTCAAATTCGTCTGAAGATGAATCTGGTTCTGAAGATGAAAATGCCAACCTAGCTTTAATGGCTATCATAGAAGATGACTCAGACTGTGAGTCAGAACAAAGAGAGGTATTTTCTGAATTTTCTAGAGAAGAACTTGCTGATAGTTTATCAGAACTTCTGGAAACTATAGTAAGCTCCAAATCAAATACAAGAAACTCAAGAAGAGTCTTGCATCTGATTTTAAGAAACTTGAAACAGAAAAATATGAACTTTTAGAAAACAATCTTAAACTTGAAAAGGAAATTCAAATTGTTCAAAATAACTTTAGTTCAGAGTCTGTATCTAGTTCAAAAGATATTCTGAAAGAATATGACTATAGCTTTCAAACTTTTCTTGCTAAAAGCATAGACAGAAGCAAAATGGTTTCAATGATCTATGGAGTTAGTGGGAAAAACAGAAGAGGAATTGGATATGAACATCCCAAAGGGAAGGAGACATACATTCCAAAACCTGTTGCTAAAATGACCTTCACTTAAAAATCTCTGAATAAGCAATTCAAGTTTGGACACTCACATGATATAAAATATACATCACATTCTGGAAACTCTTATGCTAACCCAAAAGGACCCAAAAAGATATGGGTACCTAAGGATAAAATAATATTTGTTGCAGACGTCCTTAACAGCTCAATTGAAACACCAGTCATGGTACCTGGACTCTGGATGCTCACGACACATGACGGGAAAAAGGTCTATGTTCCAAAGCCTGGAACTTAAAGCTGGAGGAGATGTGAAGTTTGGAGGTAATCAGAAAGGGAAGATTATTGGTTCTGGAACCATAGGAAACGATAACCTTCCTTCTATCTCTAATGTTTTATTAGTAGAAGGATTAGCTCATAATCTATTGTCCATAAGTCAATTAAGTGACAATGGCTATGACATTATCTTCAATCAAAACTCCTGTAAAGCTGTAAATCAAAAGGATGGATCAATCCTCTTTTCTGGTAAGAGAAAGAACAACATTTACAAAATTGATTTATCAGATCTTAAATCTCAAAACGTAAAATGCCTTTTGTCTATTAGCAATGAGAAATGGGCATGGCACAGAAGATTGGGACATGACAGTCTTAGAAAAATCTCTCAACTAAATAAATTAAATTTAGTCAGAGGACTTCCCAATATAAAGTACAACTCAGATGCTTTGTGTGAAGCATGTCAAAAAGGAAAATTTTCAAAACCTTCCTTTAAATATAAAAATGTTGTCTCTTCCTCTAAGCCATTAGAGTTACTTCATATTGATCTATTTGGGCCAGTTAAAACTGTATCCATCAGAGGCAAGAAGTATGGATTGGTCATCATTGATGATTTCAGAATATGGACACGGGTAAAGTTTTTAAAACACAAGGATGAGTCAAATTCTGTATTCATTGACTTCTGTACTCAAGTGCAAAATGAAAAAGATTTTAAAATCACAAAAGTTAGAAGTGATCATGGTGGTGAATTTGAAAATCATTATTTTGAGAAATATTTTAAAGAAAATGGTATTGTTCATAATTTTTCTTGTCCTAGAACTCCCCAGTAAAATGAAGTTGTAGAAAGAAAGAATAGAACATTACAAGAGATGGCCAGAACCATGATCAATGAAACAAATATGGCTAAGCACTTTTGGGCAGAAGCTGTGAATACAACGTGTTATATTCAGAATAGAATCTCTATAAGACCTATTCTTGAAAAGACTCCCTATGAATTGTGGAAAAACAGAAAGCCCAACATTTCTTATTTCCATCCTTTTGGATGTACTTGTTTTATACTAAACACCAAAGAAACTCTGAATAAGTTTGATTCTAAAGCACAAAAGTGTTTCCTACTTGGATACTCTGAACGCTCAAAAGGCTATAGAGTATACAACACAGAAACTCTGATTGTTGAAGAATCAATTAAAGTCAGGTTTGATGATAAGCTTGGCCAACCACAGTCAAAGCAAATTGATTTTTCTGTAGGCTCAGAAGATCATCACTCAAACTCTGAAAGTTCCGAAGCAAAAGAAGACGTAGCAGATCATCCTCTTGACAATGCTCTGAAAAATCTCAGAATCTTTGACCAAACCACACAGAAAAGGTTTCCTAGATTATCTTCAGCTCACAAAGAAGACGTAATCATTGGAAGAAAAGAATATCCCATCAGAACAAGATCTTCTCTCAGAATCAATGAAGAATCTTTGTTTGGTTTAGTCTCTCTGATTGAGCCAACTACCATTGATGAAGCTCTGGAAGATAGTGATTGGATCTTTGCAA